CACAGCCTTGGACAGTGGATGGAAGTTGGCTGTAAGTTGGAATCAACCTGATATTTGGTTTTATGGTCTACCTGTTTAAAATGGAAGAGTGTTTGGTTCTTAGCAATAACTCAGTAAATACATAATTGTGATGGCTATGACTATTACTGTAATCATTGATAGGGTCTGAGCAGAACAGCTCTGATTTCATTTTGGCATAAACTGAGAACCTTTTGATTTTCTGGACAATATCTCATTTTCAAGCCCTTTTCTGTTCATATTTGAGAAGGTTAACTTTCTAATAGACTCAAAGTAAGTTATATATTGGTTCCTGTAATCTTAATATTCTTCATAGTATTTTTTACTAATATTAGTCAGGGCCAGAAAGAGTTCTCTTAACTGCCTTCCTCTTTCCTTGTTCAGTGTTTCTTCTTACTGTCCAGTTTTAGCCTAGACAGTCCTCCAGAGGGAGCTTTGGTGGCACAGTGGGTTAATGATTGGGCTGATACACAAAGGTTGGTGGTTTGAGGAGAAGGATGATACAGTATGTTCCTATTAAGGTTTATAGTATAAAAAATGCTGTGGGGCAGTTCTCTATTGTCCTACACAGGCTCCAAATCAGAATGAACTCACTGGCTGTGGGTTTGAGTTTTTAATTCTCTGTCATCAATATATCTTAGTTATCATTAAAATGAATTACTACAGCTGGGTGGATATTGGAAATCAAGGCTTTTGAGTTGTCATATTGGAGAAAAGTATTGAATATACCTACCTTGGACAGCCAAGAGAACACAGATATGTCCTTGGGAAAGTGTAGTCACAGTGCTCTTTGGAGACAAAGATAGAGAAGCTTCACCTCACATGCTTTGGGAATGTGGTCAAGAGGGACATCATGCTTGGAAAGGTGGTGGGTCAGCAAAAGAAAGGAAGACCCTCAAGAAGAATCAACCCAGTGGCTGAAGCAGTGGGCTCACCTGTGTCAGGTATGATGACAAAGGCACAGGATAGGACAGGGTTCAAATCTGTTTATAAGGTCATTAGGAGTTGTGCTTGACTCAGTGGCACCTAAAAACGTCTCTAGGTTCTTGAGTTGAGGGAGCTCTGGTGACACAATCCATAGGGAGTTGCACTGCTAAACCTGTCTGGTAGCCCAAATCCACCAGAAGTACCATGGGAGAAAGATGGGGAATATCCTCCCATGAGATTTATGCCTCAAAAACTCACCAGAATAAACTATAATTCTGTTCTCATTCCATAGCTATGAGAGAGTGATTGAATAATGCCCAGGTTATTAAAGATACTAATTTATCTATTGCTGAGGCAATTTTGTCTCGAAATCTAGGAATATTTTAAAATCACTTTATTAAATCAAGCAAATTCACTGTTAGTCAAAACTGACTCAAAGCTGCCTCTCCAGCAGGTTTTCGGAAGCTGTTACTTACATGAGAGGAGATTGCCTGCCCATCTCTTCCCCACAGACCAGCTGGTGGGCTAGAATAGATATTGATAGAATTTGTGCAGTATTGATTTTTATTAAAAATATTTTCTTGCCACCATTACATTCAGTTTGTGTGTGTGGGGGGGAAATACAAAAATCCAATTGTAGCCTGGATGAGATGGTGGGCTATTTTATTTTGACAAAGTCTTTAACGGTATCAACAATTTCAAGTATTACTGAAAAATCGAAGTTGAAGAGAGAGGGACCACAATTTTATTGAGTGTCTTAGTTGAGAGAAGAGAATTCTTTCTTCTTTGGACTTTTAAAGTGAAAGTCAATCACCACAGAGAAAAATTGAACTATTGTTACTGTGCAAGTGTAAGTTATATTTGATACTTAACACTTCTAAAATGTGTAAAACTTTCCAAGACATCTCTTCCAGAGTTAGGTTGCAGGATCCAAGTAGACACATAGAACTTCAATAATTTTTTCCTGATAATAAAGGTAAAACCTGTTAGATATACTCTGTTCTTGTTTTGGACTTGTAAGAACTGACCGTGCAACAAAGTATGGAGAACTTAGAAATTTAAAAGAAACAACAGCTACAACAGCAATAGCATGCTGGGATCACATGTTTTCCTAATCATTTGATGGTGATGGTTGTTGTTCGTAGAGACTCATAGCGACCCTATGAACAAAAGAGCTGAACACTTGGATAACTCTTATTGTTTCTCCAGGTTCTTAAGGTTTCCGGAGTCAAGCTAATCCGGAAGTGGATGCCACTCCTGTTTCCAAGCTTGTTTTAATCAGGGAGCTCCACCAAACACTATCCACCATGGGTAACCATTGTTGCATTTGACACATCAGCGTCACAGTGTTCAGCATCACAGCAAATAGACAGACCAGTGCTATACCACTTAGAAGAATGCTTGACCAAAAGCAATTATAACCAGACCCAAGTGCCATAGATTAAAATCACTCACCTTTGGCTTGGTAGCATAACTTTCTATCCACTTGGCCAGCAGAGCTCTCACTATGACTATGACTCACAGCAATTCTATGAACAACAGATCTAACCCTTGTCCTATCCTATGCCATCCCCACAATCCGAGACACACTCGAGCCCATTGCTATAGTCACTGTATCAATCCATCATGTTGAGCATCTTCTTTTCTTCTCTGACCTTCCACTTCTCTCAGCATGATGCCATTTTTTCCTTTTCAAATATATGCCATTCCCTTGCACTGTACTGATAAACCCACACCACCACCATTTTTTGTCATGTCTGAAGCAACAAAATATAAAGGTAAAAAGAGCTGAGCTCTGGGCTCAAATGGTCTATGATAGAATCATGATTTTACTTTTTATTAGCGGAATATATGTGATCAGTTTACTTATCCTTTTTACACCTTGGTTTTCTCATTTGGACTTAACCCCTTCTGTACTTTCAAGTATTTAATAAGGAGCACTGGTGGCACAGTGATTGTTAACACAAAGACTTGCAGTTGAAAGCCATTGCTGCAGGAGACAGAGCAAACAACTAGCTTCCATAAACACTGCATAATATCAGTGAATCTAGAGGCTGTTGTGCTGAGGGAAACCATAATCCCCAAAGGACAAGTATTGGGGTTTCTTTTCTGTTTGTTTTTTTTTAAATTCTGATTTATTTACAAAGTTTGAATGCACTGTTTTTCACAAAAGATCCTTCCCATTTCCTTCAGCCCACCCACCCATCGAGTTGTGTAACCCTATGATTAACACCCTCCCCCCATCCACACCCCTCTATTTCCACCCCCCCACCTTGGATCCTCATATTCATTTTACAATAATGGTTTTATTCAGTATTTGTCCTTGTGGGACTGAGTTCACTCAGCATAATGCTCTCCAGTCCCTCCCAAGTTAGGTAGTAATTTACAAAATGATTGTTCCTGTGTGCTGCATAGTATTCCATTATGTGCATGTACCACAACTTCTCAAGCCATTCGTTTATGGTTGGACATCTGGGTGGTTTCCGTGTTCTTACGAAGGTGAATAATGCTACTATGAACATTGGTGTACAAGTTTCTGTTTGAGCCTCAGTTCTCATTTTCTTGGGGAATATTCCAAGCAATGTAATAGCTGGGTCATATGGAATTTCTATGTTCAGCTTTTTGAGGAAGTGCCAAACTGCCTTCCAGAGTGGTTGTACCATTGTACAATCCCACCAACAATGTAAGAGTTCCTATCTTACCCTGAACTTTGCCACTGCTACTGGAGTGAGATGGTATCTCATTGTGGTTTTGATTTGCATTTCCTTTATTGCCAGTTATTTCAAACACTGGGAAAATACTGTTAAAGACAACTTTTATCAAAGGCTGAAGTAAGGCTTCCAGAATCATTCTTGTGTGATTACCAAGGATGAGAAGGGATAAAGAGGGCATTAAAAAAAATCAATAAATAAGTAATAGTCACTTACCAAGAAAGATGAAGGGAAAGGTAATGTACAATAAATGGATGGTTGGGTATTGTGGGTATTATAATTAGCATTACAAAGTATGTATCAATGATTTAATGAAAAAACCATCATACTTTGTAAACATTTGCTCAAATAATGATAAAAAAGTATTTTAAAAAATGTTGTTGTTGTTGATTGCCATTGAGTCAAGCACGACTCATAGTGACACTGTGAACAAAAAGCCTGAAGCCCCTCTACAACTATCAACATTTTTCAAAGTTCATAGTTTCTGGAGGCATGTTGTTTACAAAGTGGATGTCACTCCTGATTCCAAATCTGTCATAGTATGTTACTGTTGTTATGTGCCATAGAGTCACCCGCAATATATAGTGACCCTACGTACAGCAACTCTGAACCCTTCCCTGTCCTGAGCCTGTCTCACTAACTCCAACACACCAACCCCATTGCCCCAGTTACTGAATCAATCCATCTCATTGGAAACCCTTTGCACAGTTTTACTTTGTCCTATGGGGTCACTATTGAGCTGAACTGACTCACAGCAAATTGGTGGCCTAGTGGCAAGAAGCTGCACTGCAATCCTAAGGGCACGTGGTTCTAGGCCCAATGGGAGGATTGGCAATCACTTTCTGTGTGATTAACACCTCTGAAAACCTGCCAAGGATCAGCAATGGGTCAATACTGGGTCTATTGTACATAATAACAATAGCAATAATAAGAATAAATGTTAGTAATTATTTCAGATTCTGAGTGTATCCCCTTATTTAAGATACAAAGATGTAAGAGTTGTCAAAGAAATGCTTCATTAATTTTTATTATTTTGAAATGGGAAAAGCATTAGTTAATCAAAACTATGTTAAGGGACCACTTTTCAGGAATACAGTAAAATTGATTATCAAAGAATACCAGTGTGCACTTAAGAATAGTACAGCCATTGTGTTTCAAGAGATTCTTTATCCTAGAATGTTTCTGGAGCAACTTCTGTGCTAGTACTATTCTTGCAGTTGAGGGAAAAGCAGAGAACACCACCCTCAGAGAACTAAACACCCTCAAAGGATGTGAAGTGAGGATAGGATTTAAGTTACTTATGACTTTTAAAATTAAAATATTCAAATTATGTTGCCTTCACAGTCAGATATAATTACATGTGCTCAAGAAGTAGAAATGATGATAAAGCAGTTAGCAGCTCAACTGGAACAATTGAAAATGACTGTTAAATCAAAGACTGCTGTTCCAACATCTCAAGTCTTTGTAAGTACTTGTCATCAACTTTGTCACATTGTCACAGTGGCTAAAGCATGTAGCGTGGTAGCCAGAAGGTTGGCAAATGGAACCTGCTGGCAGCACCAGGGGAGAAAGATGAGGCCGTCTTTTGTAAGATAACAACCGTATAAGCTTTTTTGGGCAGTGCTATTCTGTCTGCTGTGTTGTTATAAACTGGAAAAGGCTCAGTGACAGCGGGTTTAGTTTTTTGGGTTTTGCTCATTAACTTTGGCCTTGTTTAAGAGTGAATCTACTTTTTTCAGAAGGCATTATAATTATATGTGGTGTTGTTGTTGTTATGTGCCGTCGAGTCGTTTCTGACTCATAGCGACCCTATGCACGACAGCCCTAAACCCTGCTCTACCCTGCGCCAACCGC